TGAAGGCGCGGCCGCAGCCCAGGTGGCGGCACAGGACGTGGGCATCGGGCAGGTCCCACTCGGCGGCGCACACGGAGCCCCACGTGCCCCTGAGCGCCACCTCCAGCCGCCCACTGCATGCCGAGCTGCCGTTCTCCAGCCGGAAGCCCGTGTAGGCTGTGGCACAAAGGGCGTTGAGGGGGCTGAGGGACCCCAGCAGGGACCCCAGCAGCCCCCGCTGTCCCCGGCACTTACGGGAGCAGATGACGCTGGCAMGTCTGTGGCASTGRYGATSGTGGGGCGCTCGCTGGGCGCAGGCGCTGAGGAGGGGCTCGCTGCCATTGCACTGGAATCCCCCCCGCCAGAGCGGCCCCGTTCCCAACACCAACCATCCCATACTGGCAATGGGGAGTGCCWCGCCGCAGCCCAGCTCCCGGCACACCACCTGGGCYGCCTTCATGTCCACCTGATCATCACAAACACTGAACCAGGCCTGACCCTGCCGCACCTCCAGCTGCCCAGTACAGGCTCCATCTCCACCGACCAGCCGGGAAAAGCCTGCGGGAGCAGAGCAGGATCAGCATCGAGGGATGGGCGTGAAGTGCCACAGCCCCCCGGCCCAGCTCCTACCTTGGCACACAACGGCAACATCCAAACCATGCCTAAGGCCGTTATAGGGTCCCCAGCCTCGGATCTTGCAGTCCCAGAGCACGGCCTCGGACCCCTTGCAATCCACCGAAACCAGGCTAACGGCCCCATTTTCTGTTCCGAATTTATCGATGGCGAAGTAGGCACCAGCGGCCGAGCCACAGCCCAGCTGCTGGCACACCACCTCGGCGTCCTCCATGTCCCAGTTGTCGTCTGCCACCGAGCCCCAGCGTCCCTGCAGCTTCACCTCCACCCTCCCGRWGCAGGGACTGCCGCCGCCCGCCAGCCTCAGCTCYACGGCATCTGCACCGGGACAYCCGCACGGCTCAGCGCTGCCCTGGATGCTCCAGAACAATCCTGGTGGCCCTGCATGGCCAGCGTGTCCCCTCACCTGTGCAGGTCACCCCCACATCCC